ATGGTATGAAATGAGATAGGAGAGGTAGCCAAGGGCCACATCACGTACCACTTTGTAGGACTTTGGATTTTATATGAGAGTGATGGGACACTTGGAGTCTGGAGAGTAGGGAAGGAACATGAACTAGATTTATACAGTTGACCCTTGAACAACAGGAGATGTACTTATATGCAGATTTTTTCAATAGTAAATATTACTGTACTACACAATCCATGGTTGGTTGAATCTGCAGCTGCAGAGGGCTGACCATAAATAGACTCAGATTTTCACCTGTGCCGGGGGGTCAGTGCCCCTCACCCCTACATTGTTCAAGGGTCAGCTGTATTTTAAAAGGATTCCTCTGGCTGCTGTATGGAGAATAGACTTTGGAGGCAAGAGCTAAAGGGAGATCAGGTAGGAGGCTATTGCAGTAATTCAGGTGAGAGATGGTGATGGCTCAGCCCCGGTGGTAGTGATGGCTAAGGAGAGAAGGGGCTGGATCACAGATGTGTAACTTAAGGATCAGGGACATATGTTATTCATCTATAACCCTAGGGCTTACCATGGGCTTGATTCTTAGTAGATTAACTTTGCTGAATGAATAAAACCAAACAAATGCAGCATTCTTGTCATTTTCCCATGCTGTGATGCTTTTGAAAGGTTTTACAAGAGGTCTTCACTGTAATCTTAATATCACTGGCTATGGACCACTTTAGTATTTCTCTTTTTTTTAGGATTTATTTATTTATTTTTGGCTGCATTGGGTCTTCACTGCTGCGCTCAGGCTTTCTCTAGTTGTGTTGAGCGGGGGCTACTCTTTGTTGTGGTGCACGGGCTTCTCATTACAGTGGCTTCTCTTGTTTCGGAGCATGGATTCTAGACACGCGAGCTTAAGTAGTTATGGCTCGCAAGCTCAGTAGATGTGGCTCGCGGGCTCTAGAGCGCAGGCTCACTAGTTGTGGTGCATGGGCTTAGTTGCTCCGCGGCATGTGGGATCCTCCCGGACCAGGGCTAGAACCCATGTCCCCTGCATTGGCAGGCAGATTCTTAACCACTGCGCCACCAGGGAAGTCCCGTATTTCTTAATCTGGACCAGCCTGCTTCCATTATTGATAGGATTAGCTCAAGCCAGCCAGTGTATAGCCAGAGAGGCTAAAATTATCCTGGAAAAGACAGTGGCTTAGGTAACCAAATAGGAAAGGACTCAAGTCATTTATATAGGTGAGGATAAAACTCCCACTTTGCAGATTCAGGTTATAAAGTATTAAGGCCTTACATTTAAATAGCATTTTATATTTTACAGCATCATATATTCACAGCCACTCTATGAAGAAGTTATTAATGCTTTTCCTATTTTATACACTGAAACTCAGAGAAGTTATGGAATTTGTTTATAATAACAAATAACATAGCCATCACATCCCAAAACCAGATATTTCATCTCCAGATCCTTTACTGTTTGTTCCATGCTCATAAATTAATTTACTGAACAACTATTTATTGAATGTATCACGCACTGTGACAGATAAGGGAATGCTGACATAAACATGACCCAGTGCTCACCTTGTGAGTGCTTTATGGTGTCACGGAGGAATTGGGTAAGAAAGTCATAGATTTTAATTTAATAAGGTGTATAAATGCTGTAATAAAATTAAGCACAGGACATATTTTGGTTTTGTATGTACAATTACTAAAATATAAGGTAAAATAAATACTTCTTCCAATATTCTTTCAGCTGCCTAATTATATATTCTGTATTTTCCTATTTTGGGGAGTGGACCTGAATTAAAAATGCATGGCAGTGTAATTTATGGTTTCTTATTCATAGACATCAAAATATTTATATACAATGTCTTCTGAAATCCATGAGATGTCTTACACAGCTTTAGCATTCTAGCTTTCTGTATGTTATTTCAAAGCTCAAAATGGTTGCATTTATTTTGGGATAACTTAGTTCTTAATTTTGCCTTTGCAATGGGACTAACCTTGATAGTGTCATATGGTTGAATATGCATGGAAAGTTAGAATTTGGTCCCAGGGAATTACCCAGTTTAGTCAGACCCTTACATTTGAATGTAGATTATGATAAAGCTGGAAATAATTACACCACCATAATGAGAGGAGGAAGGAGTGGAAATACCACAGACTTCTGAATTTAAAAATGAATTATTCTTTTGTGGTCTTCTCTTAAGTAACTTATTTCTTCTTTTTGAAGTACATGTTTGAACACATGAGAAAGTACACCTGTCAAAAGATTAACCAGCTGAGAACCATTGTCAGCATTCATTTTCCTTTAATAAATGACTCTCTGAAGCTATTTAGCAGCCTGTAATCTCGATCCAAAGCTATTGACCTATGATGGATAGTGCTGGATTTGTTTGTAAGCTTTCACTTATATCTTCTACATAATTTCTCCAGGTCAGAGCAACAGGATTTACAGTGAGGTTCGTTAGGTGGTTCAAATTAAAATGGCCATAGAAATTGAGCAAAAATAATTGTAAAACATTAATGATCCCACCATCTTGGTGAAGTAAATTAGAAACTAACGAAATGACAGTCACTTAAACTTCACCATTATCAGGATGTTCAAATGACACAGATGAGTTAATTAAAAGCATTTCTTAAATTGGGTTTTTGTACATAATCAGTTCCACAGTGTCTGAAAATATTGTGAAATAATGTAATTTAACCATATATAAGCATCTCAGGCTTTCATAACATGTGGGCACTTCCTCTGCCAGCACTGTTTGGCTCACATAATGCTGACTTCTTTTGCTTTTAATAATCAGTTAAAAATAGCATGAACTGTAGAATAGAAAGGCTACTTGGTTTGGCGGTAGCAAAATAGTCACAATTTGAATGAAATAAGGATCTCCTCATTCGGCTTTTTATGTATTAAAAACTGTGTATTTCATTGAATAAATTAAATTCAAAAGTAGGCCATTACTTGCAGCTGTGTATATTAGAATGGCCAGGTTTGATACATAGTACAATTATGGTTTCTTTTTTTTTAATAAATTTATTTATTTATTTTTGGTTGTGTTGGGTCTTAGTTTCTACATGAGGGCTTTCCCTGGTTGCGGCGAGCGGGGGCCACTCTTCATCGCAGTGCGCGGGCCTCTTACTATCGCGGCCTCTCTTGTTGCGGAGCACAGGCTCCAGATGCGCAGGCTCAGTAGTTGTGGCTCACGGGCCCAGCTGCTCCGCGGCATGTGGGATCTTCCCAGACCGGGGCTCGAACCCGTGTCCCCTGCATTGGCAGGCAGATTCTCAACCACTGCACCACCAGGGAAGCCCCAATTATGGTTTCTTTATTCCTAGATGTACTATAAATAAGTTGTAAAGGCAAAAATTGTACTAATATAGCTCTTCCACACACTTACCTGGTTGTGAACAACAAGACCTAACTTGAAAATTATGAATGAAGACTTCCCTAATGCTAAAAGTAGTAATAATGCTGTCGGTTTTATTTTATAGTTAATGAAAATTTAGACGAGTGAAGTTACCCCCCACTTGCTTTTTAAGACAAGTCTAGGCCATATTTCCTGTGCCAAAGTAGAAGCTGCTTCTCCAGTTATTTCCATTAGTGAACATACATCAAATCTTTGCTAAGGAGTGGCCAAACCAATGTTAAAGTTTATTTCTTCTTCCTGACATATCACTAAGAATGAATTGCCCAAAAGGTGTACAGGCATACCTCATTTTATTGCTCTTCACAAATACTGGGTTTTTCCATTATATTGTATATAGAATGGATAAACAACAAGGTCCTACTGTATAGCACAGGGAACTATATTCAATATCCTGTGATAAACCATGCTGGAAAAGAATTTTAAAAAGAAAGTATATATGTATAACTGAATCACTTTGCTGTACAGCGGAAATTCACATGACATTGTAAATCAGCTATACTTCAATAATTTATTTTAAAGAGACAAATATTGTGGTCACCTTGAGGTGTCAGATGATGCTTAGCATTTTTAGCAGTAAAGAATTTTTAAATTAAGGTGTGTACATTGTTTTTATAGGCATAATGCTATTGCCCATGTAATAGACTACAGTATTCATGTGACTCTCACCTTATTGTAATATTCACCTTATGGGGGTGGTCTGGAACTGACCCCACAAAATCTTCAAGCTATGTGTGCCTGTATAGCAGGAGGGAAAAGAAAAATCAAATAATATTAGAAAGTGCACATCAGAGTAATCAGTCTAGCTAAGCAACTGTTTTCTTTACCTTAAAGAACCTTTCTTTCTTTTCTTTTTTTTTTTTTTTTGCGGTACGCGGGCCTCTCACTGTTGTGGCCTCTCCCGTGGCGGAGCACAGGCTCCGGACGCGCAGGCTCAGCAGCCACGGCTCACGGGCCCAGCCGCTCCGCGGCATGTGGGATCTTCCCGGACCGGGGCACGAACCCGTGTCCCCTGCATCGGCAGGCGGACTCTCAACCACTGCGCCAACAGGGAAGTCCTACCTTAAAGAATCTTTATCTACAAAGAATCTTTCCATCTGAAATGCCTACTTGTTTATGGGAGAAAGAGACCAGTCTCTGTCTTTGTAGATCTCATCTGTACATAGTGTGCAGAGAGCGAGCGAGCGAGCCAGAGACCCCAGATCCAGACTTGGGCAGCTGACCCCTCTGGCTGCTCCCATGCTGGTCAGGGCACAGGTCATCTTTTTAATATACTTTCTATTACTGAGTAGGTTTCTCAGGAGAATAAGAGATGCATGGGAATAATAAAATTCACATTTTAAATCCCCATGGTACTCCACGATCGTGCCAAAATATTTGAGATGCATGCAGAGTTTGACTGAATCTGTATGTCCCCTTTGGCTTATAAGTAACCTGCATGATACTTGACAATTAAAATATTCCAAGAGAGGCTTATGCCTGACCTAAGTATAACTTGGAGGCAAGGTGTTTTCATTTGGTTTGAGGATTTTCTCTAATCTTATAAAATACTTAAACACTTGCAGAAATGTATCCCTCTTCTTCTATCCCTTTACCCCCCAAACTATTCAGGTGTGGGAGCTGCTCGGTCTGGCAACCTCACGTTTATGGTGGGAGGAGTCGAAGAAGAATTTGCTGCTGCCCAAGAGCTTCTGGGGTGCATGGGCTCCAATGTGGTGCATTGTGGAGCCGTCGGGACTGGGCAGGTAACGTTTGCACAGCAGTGACACTGACTTGATGATGTAGAATCACCTAATGTTCATCTTTCTTTCCTGACCACAATTTGATTCCTCCTTACTCTGTTCATTCTGTGGATTCTTTGTTTGTTCAGATTTTCTAAAATTAATTTGGAATGAGTTAGTTTTCCGTCATTCCTGTTGGAAGTAAGCAGAGATAAACCAATAATTTAAAAAGACATCAAAAGTTCCATCGTTTCAGACTTGGACATATTTATCCCAGTGACCACAGAAATTATCCTTAAAACGGCTTCTATATGAAGTGCTCGTGTTATCTGATTTGCTGTTATCTTCCCTCTAATTTTGTGATTGCTCGCCACAGCTCTGTTTGTAGTACTGTCGTGTAGAGGTAACCTGTGCACTTTAATCTTTTTCTTAAAAAAACAGATCATTTTCATTAAGAAATGTGTTATATCGATTCTCTAATCAGGTAGAGGTGAATGACTACAATGAACTCTGAAATCAAACTGGTTGTCCCCCTCCCACCCAACACACACACTATCACTCACTCCACTTCATGCTTTGTCCTGGTCACTGGTACCAGCTTTATCTTATTCAGGACTTTGGTATGGTCTTAGATATATCTGTTGTCTCCATTCCCTGGTCCAGTCAGTCTCCAGGTTCTATTGATTTTTGCTTCAGTGGCTCTCATTGTTGGCTACCTTGTTCATTCCACGCATTACCTGGTTCAGTCTTTCATTATCTCACACCTTGTTTACTGCTCACAGGGCCTAGTAGATCTCTGGATACCAGGTTTACCACTTTGCCAACATTGTAACCAAAACCAACTCCATCAAGATGCTTGTATCATCATAGGTTTCCCAGTTCAGACATTTTGCATAGATCCCTATTTCGTACCACGTCAAACTTGGACACTAGCTTCCGTAGCTCTTGACCCAGTCTTAACTATCAAACTTCTCCTTATTCCTTAAAACCACTTCACATGAGTCCATTTTCTTACTGTTCTCAGGAATATCTCATGCCCTTGCATATTTATTTTTTTCCCTGCTCTCCTTCTTTCCCTCTCTTGCCTATTTTAAATCCTGCCTGGCCTTCTGAGAGATGGTTTCAGGTTCTGCTTCCTCTCTGCACCTGCCCTCAGTGATCTGGTTTCTCTGAACTCCTACTGTCTCTGTCTTACAATTTCTACCATACAGTTTACCACTTAGTTGTGTTTGCTTGTTCATTGCCTTTTCATTTGGTGTGTTACTCCTGTTTCCCCAGTTAGAATGTCAGCCTCATTCCTGAAGGAGCAGTTGTGCCACATCAGTCAGTATTCCCTGTTGTGCTTGCGCCCATAGGAGTAGCTCAGTCGCCACACTGCAGAGCTCTTCCCTAGGGGAAGAGGACCCCCTCCCAGTCTGCTCTGGGATCTTGTGTTAGGCTCAGAGGGAGGCTTGCAGCACCAAATGCCTTTCCTCCTTTGAAAGAATCAACAGATGAATGCTCTTACTTTTAGAAACGTGGAATAGGGTGAAGAAATCTTCCTGTGAGTTATAGCTTAAAAATAAGATATTTAATATGTACTCAATTTATTTTCAGGCTGCGAAGATCTGCAACAACTTGCTGTTAGCAATTAGTATGATTGGAACTGCTGAAGCTATGAATCTGGGAATCAGGTTTGTTGAATAGTACATTTTCATATACTAACAGTTTTTATGAGCTTTCCGTTTTGATTTTCTGATGTTGAAAACAAATGTTCATGAGAGATAAATCAGTTGATCCAGGAACATTGTGAAAGTATTTCGTTATTGAACTTTAATAGACTTTGCTTATTGGATGACCAATAGGACCCTGGAGAGCATGAATGCTCTCTGCCATAAGCCATAAAATGTATTGTGCTTTATATTTGAAGTTACATTATCCTTTTTATATGGGAGCTCCATTTCTTCTATTATGTCGAAATTCAAGAGACACTTTTACTATAAAATTTAAACAAACTCTGGCAGTGTAGGACAAATTTGTATAAAATACTGTTTTAATGTATAGTGAATTCAGGTGTTATGCTACCATGTGACTGGTTTTATGTATCTATTTTAAATGTAGTCCCCAAAATCTACACTAAAAGGGTTCTTGGTTGTTTATTCTCAGGATAAACTGGATGGCATTCATAAAGCTGCAACTCGTATGCATAACTCTTTTCATTTTAACTTCCCTAGGGTTCTGTTACTTTACATTAAGGATATATCTTTTCATTGAAATAAAATGGCATTCATACTTTGCTGAAAGTGATTCAGGAATTCAGTTTTTCCTACGATGGTGATCATCCTTTAGAATGCTTAAGGTTAATGTCTTAATTTTAGCCTTTAATCTTTTGGGTTAGGAATGCTACATATGATTAATCACCTAATTAATTTTTGGGGTGTTTTGCATTTCATGAATATAATAAATACACATTTCTTCCTTTAGAAAATGCTTAATGAGAAAGATGCTTTTACTGAGGTGTTTTCTTCACATGTCCCCAAACTGCTTGCCAAATATATCACAAATCAGAGTAGTGTTTCATACCATAGCTTTTGATGAAAGCAATAAAAAGAGCCAAAGTGCTTGAGATATTTTTTAAAACACAGTAATGGATTCACATTTCCTCTTAATTACCATATCAAGATGCTGTTGTTTTATTGAATTGCCCTTGTCTCAGATGTTAAACTGTCTTGACCTATTAAGTTGTCATGTTGTAATTGAGACAAAAGAGGAATTTGCTTTGCATCAGCGCTAATTGGTTTATCAATATCCTGTACCATTTACATTTTAAAATTGAATGTAAGATGGTAAAAGGCATATTTGTACAAAGCCTTAATAAAACTGGTGGTATATAAGAAGCTGTTCAGAGTGTTATGTCTGTATTGTAGCCAGTTTAGGCTATGGGTCACTTATCATAATTGAAAAACTGGTTACTAGTAACTTGTTTTTATGTTCATCCTCTAGATTAATTTTATGGAGGAGGAAAATGTAAATTTCTGGAACGAAAATTGCATACAAAATTAATTGGTGTTGACAGTAGGATTAGAGCATTAGGATGCATTTGCATCTTTAGAATTTTATTTTCATTTTTCTGGATATAAATGAGTATATAATAAAAAAAAGTAAAAGCCTAGGTTATACTGTACTGAAATTTCCCTCTCTTTTTGCCAGTTTATTTTATATTCTGCTGCTTACTTTAAACGTCACTGGACCAGAATGTTCCTTAGGCATCCTCTAGCATTCCTCAAATAATTTTCCTAGCAAAAGTCTTATTAGATGATCATTCTAAAATGAAGTTTTTGTACAATAAGTGCTTATGGAAGTCTAACTCCAAAAGCCAGCTAATAAAGAATAGTATGAAAATCAGTTGAATCAAATGAATAAAATGTATACAATGAAATGTATACATTGGCTACTAGAGTAAGTTTATTATCAAAGAGAAAAGAAAGTGATAAAAATCCAAACAGCAATATTAAGAGCAGAAGCAATAAATAGATTTTCCCTTATTGTTGGCCTTGATCCACCATGACAAAAACAATATTTAGAAATATGAAACTTTCAATGTTGAATTTTTCCAAAACTCTATTACTGTTACTGATGTATATGTGTGTAAATGAAATATTTACACACACACACACACATACACACATGTCTGAACACAAAGCAGGAACTCATTGTTTTTACTTAACTGTTACGATAATTTGTAAGTTTATGGTGCTCTACATTGTACTAATGAATTGCTTATTTTCATGACATTAGGATTTTATCGGTTTATCTTACAGAGATTCTCAGTGGTTTGAAAGTCCTAAAAATGATTGCTTCTGCTATTGTCTTTTCTCCATGGTTTACAGACATGGTTGAAAATGACAGGAATGTTCTCTAATGGAGTATAGAGAGCGGCCACGATTTATTGAGCATTGCAAGGTGAAAGAGAAAATTGGCATCGGCAAGCATAAATTCCCAAGTAGTAAATTCCCACAAAGTAGTATAGCATCAAAGTGGTTCAGCCACATTTATATTCTGTTCACTCTGAAGTAAAAATTTTTTTAGAGAATTAATGTCAACATTTACCAATTGAGTTACCTATTCCCATGAAGTGATCGTTTCTGATTAATTTCATTCTCATAAGTCAGTGTCTTTTCTTGAACACTGACGTTTCCCTTTTTTAAATAGGAGAATAAAACCTTATAGTTTTAAACTGTTGACCCTGTGATCTTTTACAATGAGTGTTTGTGGATGTTAGTGAGATTTTTAAATGCTATAAAAACGTAAAGCATAAAAAATATTGATATACAACATACTAGGAAATTCTTTTTTACTAGAGCTTTCTGCCTTCTAATTGGGATCTATTTAGGAATTCAGAACATAGTTTTATGGTACTGAAAGGGCCTTACTTGCGTTAGAGAGGTTTTATTCCCGTGCACCACATAAGAATGACATTGGTAATGTGAGTTTTGTTTTTTTGTTTTCATTTTTGTTCTGCCGGAAATTATGTTTTTTGTTTGGTTTGCTTTTTTTTTCAATATGGGTAGTATAACAAGTTATTTGCATTGCCAACAGGGCCCAGGCCCCTCTAGCAACAGCCATATTGTCTCCTTCCACCAAAAGAAGCTTAAAACAGTCAAACTTCTGGAAGGCCGTTCAAGATGAGAACTCTCCCACAAGCATAATTTTAGCTTCCTGGTTACTTCCCTAAGAAGGTGTTGCCATTTCATTTAGGTGATGACTGAAACCTCTTAGTTGTATACCCTGATAGATATAACATATGGCAAAAGGTTTATAATAAAGGTTTGGCCAAATTTCTTATTAAACTGATAGGATGCCATCATGTTGGCTGATTAAGTGACTACCCATATGACCCAGTGAGACTCAGGGCAGTGAGTGTGGGTGTCTGTTGATGACCACATCCCAGCTCTGCCACAGACTTAAGCTTTTCTCATCTGTAAAATGACAAAAATAATAGTATCTATCCACAGTAGCAGTAGTATCCGTTGTGAAGAGTAAATTAAGTCATCCATGTAAATCTTTTAAAACAGTGCCTGATACATAGTAGGTGCTCAATACATGGTAGTTATTGACGTGATGGTGGTGGTGGTTTGTATTTGAATTGAATTGTACGTTAATGTTTTTTTCTTTATAACACTTCTCACTGGCTAGCATTATATATTTATTTGTTTGTTGATTGTCTGTCTTCCCAACTAGAATACAGGCTCTATGAGCTTTGTCTGCTCACCACTGTATCTTTTTTTTTTTTATAAATTTATTTATTTATTTTTGGCTGCATTGGGTCTTCGTTGCTGCATGCGGGCTTTCTCTAGTTGCAGAGAATGGGGGCTACTCTTCGTGGAGGTGTTCAGGCTTCTCACTGTGATGGCTTCTCATGTTGCGGAGCACAGGCTCTAGGTGTGCGGGCTTTAATAGTTGTGGCACGTGGGCTCAGTAGTTGTGGCTCGCGGACTCTAGAGCGCAGACTCAGTAGTTGCGGCGCATGGGCTTAGTTGCTCCTTGGCATGTGGGATCTTCCCGCACCAGGTCTCGAACCCATGTCCCCTGCATTGGCAGGCGGATCCTTAACCACTGTGCCACCAGGGAAGTCCCTCACCACTTTATCTTAAGAACATCGCTGGCATGTAGTAGGCACTCAGTGAAGATTTGTCAGACGAATGAGGTGGGGGTCGGGGGGGCTCTTCCTCTGCCTCAGGTAAATGTAACTGGGCAGGTGTCTTAACTGGCCCACTCCTGGAGGGCAGGCACAGCCTCTTCTTAGATGGCAGGTCTGCGTAAACATTGGTGAATAACGGAATGAGTGATTTAAGTTGACATAGTCTTAGATGTCTCATTTCCAGATCGGTTCCTGTGATACAGACTTCTCAGTTTAGGGACACAGTTTGCTTTGTTCTTACAGAAAACCAGACAGTATAGATACTTACAGAGACTATAAGGTGAACAAACTTTTTTGGCCCTTAAAAGCCTTGGTTACAGTGAGGGCAAACACTTGGCTTCTCTTTAATTTTTCTTATAGTTTATGCATCATTTTTACTTCTCCCAAAAGTTCATTTTAAAATTCTTGTGTTTTAAAGGTGAGTAGATTTGACACAGTGACGTTTATTTGAGTTGCGTTATATATGCGGTCAGAGCAATGAATTCATTCTGTTTATATCAGAGAACATTCCAGCAATTGTAAAGCCACATGCATGCATGCGCACACTCTCGAACCACATCCAGTGGCAAGTTATTATGGGGACTGACAGACTGTCATCCTTTTGATGGCTTGAGCTGTATATCTCCTGAACAGCAATGGGGCTCTTATGCAGAAAGTATCATATGTTCCCAGCCAATTTACAGGGAAACAGCAATAACATTTTATCATGGTTGAGAGCCCAGTAGCTGCTTCCTATTAAACTTGCCCTTTCAGATACCTGTCTTGGATTAATTTGTTGATTTCAAATGAAACTCAGTCTTCTCCCGTGAAGCATGACGTTCTAGGATAGACTCCCTGAATGACAATTACTGTGTATTCTAGCTGGTTTCAGACCATTACAAGCCTTGGGCACAGTGGAAGACAGAGGACTTCAGTAACTGATTTTAATATCATGTCTAATTTTAACTGTCAGTTATATATATGCCAGTGAAAGAATCCTCAGAAAGATGAAATGCAAAACACTTCTAACTTGCTCTTTTTAATGATACACTTTGCTGTTGGGGGGTTGGGGAGGACTGGAGAGGGAGTAGCCATCTCCTAAAGAGAATCAGCATGGTGGGGAAGCATCAGATTTGAAAAGTGAGCACATAACAACTGCCACCTCATTTTTGTGTGTGCCCCTCAGGATGCTTCTAAATAGTAATATGTTCACCAAAAAGGGTTCCATAAATCAGCGCCAGTATTTTTCCTTGAACATTCAAGAAAAATGAAATGTAGCGTTTTACAAAGGATAATAAGCTTTGCTCCCATTTTGGTGAGTATTATAGACAGAGTATGAATTTCTTTAGCAATAAAGAGTGTTGTGAGTCTAACCTGGTAGGTTATAAGGAGGGGCAGTATCTCTGCTGCTTTGAATGTAATGAGCCATTTTAAAAGAAAATCTAAATTAGGAAGCCTGAATTATATTCCAATGGAAGGTAAAGACACTGTTTTGGAGTCTTTAAAAATATCCCCTGCTCATAGAGCACATTAGACATATACATTCTTGCATATTTGTGCTTAGACAATATATTTGCAGTTATAGCAAATTAACTAGTTGTTCATTTGTGATTTTACTTTTCACAATTTTTGCCTAAGTGCATTGGCTTTATCTTTTCCTAAGTCATCTGTTACCATAGCATCCTGATAGCCTAATTATATTTGAAAGGGGAAAGGAAGCATCAGTAGCAAATTATACATGTAACAAACTTGGATCTTTATAAAGGAATGAATGAAACCATCAGGTTTCTTTCCAGCAGTGTACAATTGAACAGAATGTATGACAGCTGATTTAGATGGAATCTTTATCTGTTATAATCTTTAGTAAAAACCGCTCATTATTAACACGGGCTACCATGTGAGTTCATCTTCATGGCATGCCATATAGTATTCCTTGAACCACAGCTGCTCCTTGAAAGCCTGACTACATAACAGTTGTATTACGTGGTAAGTCCGTACACGTCCTGGCTATTAGCCCTAGACCCTGCTCGAGCATTGGAAAAAGGTTTTACTGGTCATTCTATTCTGATCTGGAAATAGACAGACAATTTTGAACACACAAGTACTAAGCAGCACCCCAAAATGCACAGTTCATTTAATATTTACATGTGTCTCTGTTTAATCTTTTTTTTTTTTTTTTTATTCTGGAAGGGATTGGTTTTAAGAAAAAGCAGAAAGTTTTATTTGAAACTTGATTCAAAGATACGTAGCAAAACTGTGCTTCCCAGGCTGCACTAAGATACTTGGAATAAAGTAATAGAGCATTTTAATTCTACTTTTTTTCTGGGTCCACATTGAACAGCCGTTTATGCCATCAGCTCAGTGATAGAACAAATGATGTTTCCGCTTGGGCAAGCTTTGTTTTATCAGGATCAGTAACCTTATCAGCAGTTGACCCAGAACTATAATGCATGTCTCTGAATAGATAGCATATGTCACAGCTCTGTGCAGACTTGCTTCATAAGCAAGAATGTCTAATGAAGATTTAATAAATAAGGAAAAGTTTACAGCAAGAAATGTCTTCTTTTATAACTATAACTTCCCTTAAGCTCATTTTACTGCTTGTGGCTCATCTCTTGCATTTATTCTCTCATAAGAGCTAAAGGAATAAACATACATATAAATGCATCCACATGGACTCCCATGATACATAATTTAACTGTCAATATTTCTTTCTGAAATACATCACTTGTGAGTAAAGACTGTAGAATTTAGATGATCATCTTGGCTTAAGGTTCTTATGCGACACATAAATGCAATAATGTCCAAAAGACTAGAAAACCCATGTGTGTGATAAACCAACAATACTTTTATGCAGTCGTATGTTATTTCTTAAAAGCAGGGTAGTGCAGAAGGTTTTCTCTCAGTGCAGAATGTCCTGGCTCAGAAGCGTTTAATCACTAGCTTTTAATACCCTATAATTTAAGATTGGATTCTTCACTCTCGTCAGTCTGCTTAGATATTTGAAGACAGATCATAAATGGAGAGAGAAGATGGAGCATCCTCACACGTAAATAATCACACGTGACTTGTACATTTTGACATTTAACACTTCTTTTCTTTGACCTTCTTTGACAGGTTAGGGCTTGACCCAAAACTCTTGGCTAAAATCCTAAATATGAGCTCAGGACGATGTTGGTCAAGTGACACCTATAATCCTGTACCTGGGGTGATGGATGGAGTTCCGTCGGCTAATAACTATCAGGGTGGATTCGGAGCAACACTCATGGCTAAGGTATGGTAAATGCAGAGACCACCCAAGAGAGCGGCGGGGATGTTTAGTGGTTTCATTCTTCTTCCCTCCCCACCTCACCCCACCCCCACTTCTCCCCTCTCGTAACAAAGCATACGTCTATCCTAGAGGGCAAGATTACTAAAATAGTGACCCAGTCACTGGAAATTATTGAAAACTTAGCGTGGATAAAAACCTTTTTATCTTTTTTTTTTTTTTTTTTTTTTTTTTTTTTTTCCTTGCGTTATGCGGGCCTCTCACTGTTGCGGCCTCTCCCATCTGCGGAGCACAGGCTCCGGACGCGCAGGGTCAGCGGCCATGGCTCACGGGCCCCGCCGCTCCGCGGCATGGGGGATGTTTCCGAAACGGGGCACGAACCCGCGTCTCCTGCATCGGCAGGCGGACTCTCAAGCACTGCGCCACCAGGGAAGCCCAAAACCTTTTTATCTTGTTCATTTTTAATCCTGGCCTTTCAGATGAGAAGAATAGGCTGGGATTTTTCTTTGGTGCTTGGGTTTGTTTGTAATGTGAGCCGGTAACATGTTGTTCTTCATCATAAATTTACATTAATTCACCAAGCCCTTAGAATGGAAGCAGTAATAAGCATTTTCCGACGGTTAATAATATAACCACATTGGATATACATATCACAAAAGAAGAGAGGACCTTTCGCGTGATGCTAGATTTCTAAATACATCTTCCTACTTTAAGAATATATATATTTACGTATAAAGTCATTTGAAAAGCAAATTGTTGGCCTCCTCTCATTTGTGATCTCAACGTTAGAAAATACTTTTTAGACAAACAGACTTGCAGATTTTGGGGCAGAGCTTATTCCCTACCCCGCTCCCCGTACCCCTGCCATTTACTTTTTGACGGAGGTAATAATATGTACGGCTGTGTGCCGCTCTCAGCTTACTCTCCTTCGTTTCCCAGCTTGTTTCATCCATTCGCCTTCTCGGCTGTGCCGTGAATTCACCCACGTGCCCTCTCTACCACTCCCAGTACCTTGGCTGAACCTTGTTTAGGCTCTGCCACATCCGCCCTTAGCTGGTCTCCTTGCCTTTCCTTCTCATCCTCTCCAGCTCATCTTCTGTGGGAAAGGGTGCACCTCGTAAAATGTAAAACCCTGATTATGTCATCTCTCCTGTTAAGTCTCTTTCATGTTACTTTCCAGTTACTTGCGATTAAAGTCCATCTCTGCACATTGTCTCAAAGGCCTTTGCTCTCCTCACCAGCTCATTTCTGCCTTCCCACCCCCCTCCTTTGCTTCAGCCACGCCGAACTCGTTTGGCCTCTTGTTCCCTCTCCCTGGCAGCCCTCGACGCCTGCTCTTCCCTCAGCCTGCCTCTTCCTTCCTTGCCCCTCCAGCCGGACCCCTGGCGCGTTGTTGGCTCACTTTAAATATTTATTGGATGAAGCAGTGTTTGAAACTATGTTTCTTATTTTGTAGTTTTCTTTCTCCTCGTGTTTCATTTAAGAAAATATTTACTTTTATGCCAATCTGTACCTTGTATTTAGGTCTGCGTATCCTCCACACAGGCTTTCGTAGTTGTGCTGTGTTGCTCTTGTTGCAAACAGAAAGTAGCTCCTTAAGTGGATTGTTTTCACAAAGCTGCAGGGTCGTTTATTAGGGCACACAGAAGAGTGAAAGAATCGCATTTATGCCCAGTTTGCTTTATGTACATGTATGAAGTGGGTTGTGACCTTTTAGCTTATTTGGTTCCTAAAATACTGCCAATGGCTCCAACAGAGGAAGCAGCTAGCAAGTAACCTGTAAGCAGTGCTGGCTTTATCTGGGGACTCTCCTCTACGTCACACCTTTACTTGCATCATTTTCTCCAGTGTCCCTGCCCAGGAAGAATCTGCTCCTGTTGAGGTTCTTTAAAATTATTTTCTCGATAATAAAAGATAGCATAAGACAGTACAGTAGTAAAACATACGGACATTCCTGTTCCCTTTTGCTCTTTATAAGTTGTCATTTCCCTTATAAAGAGCAAGATTTCTGAATTTTGCTTAAAATGAAAGCATTTAGAAAGGAACTTAAAATATGCTTTCATCACCTCAGATAGCTGTTAGCAAAACACACCATAACTAATTAGACTTGTGTAGAGAAATTGATAGAGATTAAAGAAGTCCCCAGCAGTGCTACATTGATTAAAGCAATCATACCTGCTTGGGCAGATCAGGCCTTTACTTACTAGGAGACATTTTGCTCAACTGCCATTAGATCTCATTGTGTTGTGGGGAGATGATGTTAATGTGTCCTTGAAGTAGAGGCTTGTACATTTATTTCTAGGTCTTTTTTTTTTTTTTTTTTTTTTTAAAGGGAAAAAAAAAAAATTTTTTTTTTTTTTTTTTGATTTTTTTATTTTTTTTTTTTTTTTTGCGACCATGGCTCACGGGCCCAGCCGCTCCGCGGCATGTGGGATCCTCCCGGACCACGGTACGAACCCGTGTCCCCTGCATCGGCAGGCGGACTCCCAACCACTGCGCCACCAGGGAAGCCCTATTTCTAGGTCTTAACATCATAAAATTCTAATATATTGTGTGTATATAATCAGAACATGATCAGTACAAAAACTAGATCTTTCTTCTAAACCCCACAACCTAGAAGTCTGTTTCTGATGGCCACTAAGGAACAAATTATGGAAAATTATGACCACTCTTATTACTCACCCAGTGTACCTGTGTCCTTGTAATATGTAACGATTTGGTCCTCCATTAATTTGTTGAAACCTTTTGCAATTGTTTTATATTTTTTTCCTGAACCACCCACTGAGCTCATGAATTCATAAATATTTTTATTTGATTAGTGAAGTGGGGTGTTTGTTTATATGTTACAAGCTTCAAAGGATACCTTCTTTTCTAACATTTCAGGATTGACAAGCCACTTAGGATTTTATAGACTAAATCACCTTTCTCTTTTTAGAATGTCCACCCTTTAAGGTAGCAGCCACCAAAGCTATTTTAGCTTCCCCTTTTTGGTTTTATTAGCTCTTATTTGGGATATTTACTTGCCCCTTTGAAAACCTCTAATAGCCTTTTCTTCTCAATAGCGTTGTCTTCTCCTCGATATGTTGTGCTTTCCTCGAAGTTCTTATATTCTAGTTACACTACTAGGTTAAAAATTATAGGCAGTCTTTCTATGTAGATTTTCTGTCATTTTTAAATAAATGCATCTTGCAGATGTGCAGCAAAATGATGTTGACAAAAGAGGCTTATCTGCTTGTCTGGGTATAAGCAGTGATGTAGCTGTCCACATTTGTGAAGTGTGTGGGTAGTAATTAAACTTGCTTTTTAGTGGAAGCTATAGAAGGCTTTAAGGTTGAGTAGATTTTCCAAATCTGTGGGTTTACATGTGAAAATTATACAAGTAAGCACAAAATAACTGTTAACACCTATAGCATCATAGATATCCAAGAGGCTAGAGATTTAATCCATTCTTTAAACTTTGCTTATTTTTCCCTTGAATATTTCCTCCTTTGAGTGGATGGTATCAATAACTACTCCGTTATCAAGGGTGTTCCTCAAAGAATACAGATAGTCCTCATCTTGCTTCCTGTCTTCCTCTTTCATTGTTTGTTGGCTTTTCCGTTGGTGGAGGAAATGAAGATGGTAATGGTAAGAAGGAAGTCTTGGTTTTGCCACTTGTTTGCAGCACTTATTTAATCACAAATAAAATGAAATGTGGGGAATATTGTTCCAGTTAACCATGCGTTCATTGTCTTCCATCTACCCCCAGATATTTCAAGGTTGGACAAGATTCCATTCTTACAGTAGAGGATACCATTAACTACAGTTTAACTATAAAAGATTCATAATGTTAACTTTTGTCTGTTTTTAAACAACCATAAGTTTTCCAAAACTCTCTGAATGAAACATTAGCTCTCAGAGACGTTAAAGTGTTGTTGTGAAGCTGATTGTCTGTTGCACTTGAAAGAAAATCCAGCTTCGTCTCCAGACATCATAAAGCTTCCGTGTTGCACCTCTGCGCATCCCCAGTCTCATTTCCCTCCCCAGCCCCTTGCTTATTCTAGTTCAGCTTCATTGGCCTTCTTACTGTTTCTTGAGCATCCAAGCCATGCCCCCCCCAGGGGGCCTTTCCCTTGCTCTTCCACCCGCCTGAAACTCTCTTCCCCCAGCTCTCCAAAGAACTCACTGCCCCCTCACATTCAGATTTTAGGTCAAGTGTCTTTGCCTCGGGAGGTCTTCCCTAAACATCTCATCAATCAGAACTCTCAGAACTCTCTTCCTTCCACCCCACCCCTTGCTATGTATGACTTTCTGACCCCTTACCCTGCTTTATTTTTCTTCAGAGCACTTGTCATTGTCTGGAAGTTTAGTATTTGTTTTACTGTCTATCTTCCACGCTGGATAGTAAGTTGCTGAGAACAGTGACTTGGTTTTATTATCATGACTGCATATCACCAGGACTTAGAACAGTGCCCAGCACACAGCAGTTGTTAAATATGTGTTGACTTAAGAGACTGAATGGGTATTTTCATCATTGATAATTTCATCATGCTTAATTTCATAATGGGGTTTGTCTTAGGCTTACAGGCTTCTGTAGATTTGCAAAAGCATTTCTCTGTGTGATATCACCTGGATAGGAACACCTGGCCGAAGTCAAAACAAAACAGATAGGTTTTGTGGAGGAGTGGAGAGGCCACTCAGAAATCAAGGTTTCTCTCTGGAGCAGTTTTGCAGCTATAAGAAAGGACGTATAAAATGTGTGTGTGTGTGTGTGTATATATATATATATATATATATATAACTTAATATCGTGCTTGTAAGTATCTTATTTTTTCAGGCTTCATTTTTTCTTCTTTGAAACCCAAGCCATTAGGAGCCACAGTTCTGAAGTGAGCCTTAACTACCAACCTCAATGTATTCCCTCCGCCCTTGTTTGACTTAGGATCTGGGATTAGCACAAGACTCTGCTACCAGCACGAAGAGCCCAATCCTTCTGGGCAGTCAGGCCCATCAGATCTACAGGATGATGTGTGCGAAGGGCTACTCCAAAAAAGACTTCTCATCCGTGTTCCAGTTTCTACGAGAGGAGGAGACGTTCTGAGTTTGCCCTTTGGCTGTGGACACTGTTGGGAACCAGACTCTATCTTGGAGCCTCCTTACAGCTCACTCCACAAGTAAATGGGCTTAATCAAAGGTCACCTGTCTGCTTTTGTTTGTCTAGTTCACAATAAACCCTGGGATTTTTCACCCATTTTTAACTGCTTATTCTTTTTACCTATTTAGCAAACACATATTATCCGGTTTTTTTTTTGTTGTTGTTCCCTGCAAGCCACTGATGGTCTCTGCTAGCTAGCTGATTGACCTTTTTCAAAAGTTTGATTCCTGAGCATCATTAGCTAGAAACATTGCCTACTTCAGTCAGGATATTATTTACTCCACTTTACAAATAAAACCAAATTATTTTCCACGGGATAAAACCTCTCCTGGAGGAAAGAAAGGAAATGGGTGTGAGGAAAGGAGTTAGAGCAAGGGGAAGTGTAGTGAATTACTCCCTGTGTCCCTCAGAAAGTTTGTCCTGTTAACCCAGTGGTGGTATTCTTGCATTCTGAGGTTACCGGTTTATTTTCCAGGACTTGATAAAGCAAGAGAACTCCTTGCTGCATGCTGTGTAATTTGGACTCTGTTACATTACCTTGGTGTGCCCCTCTTGTAACAACTCCCAATACTCAGCAAACTTATTTTTTATATTTTTGCTTCCTTGTACATTCTTACTACATATTTTTTGACTTCAAAAGAATGGCACCTTTAGAACTGTTTCAGAGCCTACGATGATATGTGCTTTAGATAATTATTATCCTAAATATAACCATATTATTTTGAATTCAAATAAATTTCTATGCTGATAATACTTTCTTGGAGTTTTTGTGTCTTCCTAACCATTTGGTGAGCAGTCAAATGATCTGACAAAGTGGTGTTGCAGACTAATGGGGAAAGGATGAGAAGAAAGGGAAGGGAGGGGGGAGGTCGAGGGAACCGAGTGTGAACTGACCGGTGGCCAGCCCTCATCCTACTGCTCTGCCTGCATCCTTAACAAGAATTTGTTTCAGCGTTTTCTGGGTTGTGGGTGCTATAGGAATTTGGCCTGCAATAAATGAAATATGTCCCAGTAGGGAGCATAGTCGCCACTTTCCCCACCGCAGCCCCTAGAAATACTTCAGGCGATAGGCCTAGAAACCAGATTTAGCAGAAGGACTGCTATGTCCATCATTTTCCTGGTGATCAAAAATTCCAGGCATTAGTGTAAGTGCTGGGGCTGCAGTGATAAGCAAAACAGATAAAATCCTGCCCTTGTAGACCATAAATTCTGGTGTCTCGCATGTGTGTGTGTGAGGAGGTGTGACAGACAAGAAATAAATGTTTAATGTGTATGTCAGGTAATAATCAGGACTAAAAGGAGAAATAAAGCAGGGTAAGGGGGACGGATGGGGAGTCCTGAGGTATTTTATTAGGGTGGTAAGGGAAGTTATCTTTGTAAGGTGGCATTTGAGCAGAGATAGGAAGGAAGTGAGGGAACAAGCCATGTAGATATCTGGGGAAAGAACACTGTAGGCATAGGGAACAGAAAGTACAAAGGCACTGAGGTAGGATAACACCAGATATGAGGACCAACGAGGCTGTTAGTGAAGTGTCATCAAATGAGGGAGGCCAGATCGTGTAGGACCTTGGAGGCCATGTTAGGATGTTGGCTTTTATTCTGAGTGAAACAGGCAGTGTGTAAGTTACCAAAAGCAAAAGCTAACTGATACACTGCCACCCCCCAAGTTTGGTGCTTTAAAATAACAAACGTTTATTATTTTTCAAGATTCTCAACGTGGGCTGTGTTATTCATCTGACTGGGCTAACTCATTTGGAGCTGAAGGGTCTAATTTGGCCTCACTCAGCAGGGACAGCTGGAATGGTTGGGGCTTCTGTCCACATGGTCACCCATCCTTCAGGAAGCTAACCCAAGTTTGCTGACCTGGAGGCAGAAGGTTCCCAGCAGCAACATAGGACAAGACCAAATGAACAAGCGCTTTTTAAGCCTCTGCTTGCTTTATGGCTGTATCGTCCCATTGGTCAAAGTAAGTCACCTAGCCAAGTCCACAGTTAGCATGGGACAGGGACTACGTAAGAGTGTGGACACAGAGAGGGGCAGTAGGGGGGCCATTTTGCAAACACCGTAATATCATATCCAGCCCATGGAAGATTTTGTTCAGAGGATTGATGTGCCCTGAGCTACTTTTTAGAGGGATCACTCTGGCTGTGGTGTGGAGAATAGACCCTGGGGCAAGGGTGGAAGCAAGGAGGTCAGGTAGGAGGCAGTTATAATAATCTAGGTGAGACGTGATGGTGGCTGGGACCAGAATGATAAAGATGGGAGGCAGGGAGTCGTGAGATTCTGAACATAAAAGATAGAGCCACTAACTGATGGATGGGGAGAGAGAGAAAAGGAGGAGTCAAGGATGACTCCAAGGTTGGTGGTGGTGAAGGTGGAAGAAAGGAGACTATCTTCTGTGAGAGCAAGATTGTAGGAGAATTGAGGGAGGATCGGGGGAGGTATAGGAGAAAAAATTCAGGAGTTTATATGAGGTGCCTAATAGACATGTGGTAGAGAAAAACAGGTCCAAGGACCAAGCCCTGTGTTACTCTAGCTTTTAATGGTTGGGAACATGAGGCAGAACCAGCAGATGAGACTCAGTGACCAGTAAGGTAGGTAAAAGACAGTTCTAGGAACAGTGTCCTAGAAGCCAAATGAAGACACGCCTTAAGGAGGGAAAGCAAATTTGTATCAAAAGCTACTGATAAGTTGAGTAATATAAGGGCTGAGAATTAGTCATTTGGATTTGGTGAAATAGAAGTCGTTGGCTCTGACAGGTGCTTTGGTGGAGTGTTAGAAACGAGACTGGGAATGGGAGGAGAGAAATGAAGAAGTGAATAGAGACAAATTTCAAGTTTTGCTGTAAAAAGAAAACAGACAAATGGGATAGATACTGGTAGGGAACATGGGGGTCAAGCGGCGTTTAATTATATTTTTAGAATGGGAGATGTTATGGGGTTATGCTGATGGAGGTGGAATGATCACATAGAGGGAAAAAGCAATGATGCACAAAAGAGGATACTTGCTAAGTGGTATCTTTGAGTAGAGAGAGGAAGGGTAGAAGCATGGATGGAGCTTTAAAAACTAAAACCCGGCACAGACATCATGTGTCAAGCTGCCAGCATCTTATATGAACGATAGAGTGGTATTGTAATTAATTATACAGCTTTTCAACAGAGGATAATAAATCTTAGTGCTGGAAAGTACTTTACTGACCTCTAAGCCTTACCCCTGTAAGTCACCCTCCTGACCATTGGTTTTCTCATCTATAAAATTATCATAAACAGTGTAGCCTAATATTAAGTGCTCTTTTGGAAACTTGAAACAAAACATGAGTCAAAGACAATCACAGGTGTTGGCAAGCATGTGGAGAAAGTGGAACCCTCATACATTGCTGCCAGGTATGTAAAACGGTGCATCCACTTTGGAAAATAGTTTGGCAGTTCGTCGAAAGGTTAAACATGGAGTTACCATATGATCCAGCAGTTCTGCTCGTAGAAAGTGCTCAAGAAAAATGAAAATATACATCTGCACAAAAACTTGTACGTGAATGTTCATAGCAACATTATTCAAAATAGCCAAAAAGTGGAAACCAATCCAAACATCCCTCAACTGACGATTGCATAAACAAACCGTGGTATATCCATACAATAGAAGGTTGGCCATAAAAAGGAATGAAAGGACTTCTCTGGTGGCGCAGTGGTTAAGAATCCGCCTGCCAGTGCAGGGGACACAGGTTTGAGCCCTGGTCTGGGAAGATCCCACATGCTGCGGAGCAGCTAAGCCCATGCGCCACAACTACTGAGCCTGCGTGCCACAACTACTGAAGCCCGCACACCTAGAGCCCATGCTCCACAACAAGAGAAGCCACCGCAGTGAGAAGCCCGCGCACCGCAAGGAAGAGTAGCCCCCGCTCGCTGCAACTAGAGAAAGCCCGTGTGCAGCAACAAAGGCCCAACACAGCCAAAAATAAAATAAATTTATTGAAGTACTGATACACGCTACAACATGGATCAACTGTGAAAACAGATGCCAAGTGAAAGAAGCCAGTCACAAAAGGCCACACACTGCGATTCTATATGAACTGTCGGGAAAAGGTGAATCTGCAGGGACAAAGTAGATTAGTGGTTTCCAGGGACTAGGGGAGAGGGGGAAATGGGAAGTGACTGCTACTGGGTATGGGGTTTCTGGGGTGATGAAAATGTCCTGGAATTAGTGGTGATGGTTGCACAACTTAGCAAATGCATTGACAACCACGGAATTGTACACTTTAAATGGTGAGTTTTATGGTGTGTGAAATAACTTTGAAAAAGAAAAACTAAGGAAAAGTCATGAGTTAAGATCCTTCTCTATTGATAAGTGGTTCTCAACCAGGTTTTGTCCTGGGTGACATACAGCAATGTCTGGAGACATTGGGGGAGGGGATTCTACTGGCATCTAGTGGGTAGAAGCCAGGGATGCAGCTAAACATCCTACGGTGCACACGACAGGCCCCCTCAATCAGAATAATCCTGCCCCACATGTCAATAACGGAGTTTGAGAAACCTTGCTCAGGTGTATATTCCACAAGTATCTTAAACTCAATGTGTCAGAACCCAAGCTCTGCATCCTCCCCAGCAGACCTGCTTTTCCTCCTGGTCCCTGTCCCAACCAGGCTCCCAGGAGCCATCCCTGACTTCGCTCTCTCCTCCACCCACTCTCCAAAGCGAATTCTAAATCTCTGGTGCCTATTTCACACCCTCGTGGATTCCTGTCTAGAATATTTCTGTCTCTTTGTTGTTGCTTCTCTTTTTTTCCTAAGAGCTTCGCTGAGGTATAATTTTACATACAGTAAAATTTGCTCATTTTAAAGGTATGATTTAGTGACTTTCAGTCATCACCACAATCCAGTTTTCCATCACTGCCGCTCCCTCCCTGAAAAGTCTCATTTGGTCACTCGCATTCTCTCCCTCCCCCAACCCCGAAGCTACAGGCAACCACTGATCTTTCTGCCTCTGTAGATTCGCAGCTGCTTCTTGGGCACCAACCTGGTTCTTCGCAATTCATTTTTCACCCCGCTGCAAGGGAAGTTGAAGGCTGAAATTCACCTGCATCAAACTTTAGTCTCGGGTGCAGTGTGAACCCCTCAATTTCATGCTCTGGCTCCTATTTTACTTCACCAACGCTGTTGCCCTTTGCTTCCTCCATGGTACCCTGTGGGCAACAGGTTGTGAGTCACAGCACTTGCCATTTCCCAGGCATGCCGTGCTTCGCACACCTCAGGACCTTTGCACGTGCCGTCGCCTGAAATGCCCTTCTCCTCCACTCCTGGCCGGCTGGCTCAGGCACCATATCATCTGAAAGGCCTTCTTCGGCCACCTCAGGCTGAGTCACTTCCCCTGTGTTTCCATAGCTCTTTGTTGATACAGCCTGCATCATAGGACTTCTTACATTATGTTTGCATTATGTTCGTCTGTCTGTGAGCTCTTTGAGGGCATAGAATGTGTCTTATTCAGCTTTGAGTCTCCCTGTTGAGGACAGCACCTGGCATTGAATAAGAGCTCAATAAATGACCAAGTGAGTGGAAGCGGTGGCATTGCATTTGTGTTAGGCCAACTACAAACTGCATGAACTTTTTCCTGAAAGATTCTTCCTTAGCAGATCAAGTTTATTTTCCTTTGGGTTATAAATGATGCAGTTTGCTAGACACAGAGGTCTTGCAGAGTGTGGATCTTTTACAAAGGTTTCTTAGTCAAAAGGTTAGCTTATGCTGTTTGACTGAAGAAACTTAT